GGGATCTTTAAGGTAAATGGCATAGAGTACCTTCTGCCAAGGTGCTGCCACTGAAGTCAAGGTCCAAAGACATGCTTTCTAGCGTGTCATTAACCACCCTGAATAAACCAAATCAAGAGCAAATGCAAAGGGGGAAAAAGCTTCATTTGACAAACTACATTGGTAGGATTTACGAAAGAAACTAAATTTTCGAATTTAGTCATACCCGAGATGGTAGCCAAACAAGAGAGATGAAATAATTGCGACCAATATATGCGGTAACGGGCGTTTCCACGAGGGGTTTCCAATTTCTTTCCAGACACCATTTTGCAGGCGACCTAAAACGTTCGTATGAGATCAGCCATATAAGCTCACACTTTAACATGGTACAATGTGAAGTAATATCATACGAAAATATATTCTAGTATAATGTTAAGTCCTATGATTGTCTCTAAGCTGATGGTACACTAAAGGACTATCACACTATTTTATTCAACCAAGTTGGCAAAAATTTATTTCTCTATTTGAGCTCAAACAAATCCAGAAGCTTCCAATAGCGTTTTCAGTACTTACTCAGCACTTTTTCAACTGCTTCTCAAATCACATAAAAAAGCTCATTAAAATACAACTTGTAAAATACTCCCTATTTAATTCAACCAAGTTGGCAAAATTTTATTTCTCTATTTAAGCTCAAAAAAATCAGAACCTACCAGTAGCGTTTTCAGTACTCAGTCAGCACTTTTTCAACTAATTCTCAAATCGCTTTAATGCATAAGAAAGCTCATAAAAATACAACTTGTATGACTTCATCAAAAGGAACATGAGAGAGAATTAGATCTTGGTATGACCCAAACTTAAAAAAACACCCATCTCGTGCTCACCCCTTTAATCCCCAAATACTATAATAAGCTGAATTCACAACGTACTGATTCTAAAATCTAAGATCCGTCCTGTAGATACGCTTGCACACAGAATTTTTTTTTTTTAAAAAAAAAAAAGAATGTAAGGGATACGTACCTAAATTTTGTTCACGGTCATCATAATCATCAGTGAAATGGTCATTAGAAGAAGCACGCTTGTAGATCGAATAAGCATCTGCAAGACGAACCCCTCTCATACTCTGTGATTGTGATCTATGGTGCCAATACTGTATGAAGATTCCCAATCATATGCACGCCAACCTGCTCAGATCCATTCGCGTACAAAAATCATTAGTTATCAGCTGGCCAGCCAACCTTTGTACAACATCACTTCATAACCGACAATGTCTAATCTAAACGCAGCAAAAATCTCAGATCTAATGTGACTGGAAAGTTCCATATTTGAAACCGACAATTCAATACTCTTATTATCAATCGAGAAAATTCTTATCCTTTAAATCAGAAATAGGGAGGATAAAAAAAAGTACAATCTTCTACGTTTTCAGCTATAACTAAAGTTGGCATTGGTTGCCTAATTATCTACCATTATCATATACGCACACCTATAGATAGGAGTGAGTGAGTGAGTGTGTGTGTGTGTGTGAGTATTCGTTCGTTACCTCGTGAAATGTTATGGAAGACTGGAAAAAGGAAGAAAATTTGCGACAGCAGAAAGGTACAGTCAGATGAAAAGGAACAGAAAATGTAGCTAAAATGGAATCGGCATTGGCATTGAAAGAAGGAAATAATTAAGGAAAAGTAAAAGGAAAACGTAGGAATGCAAAAAAGGTAAAGGAGGAACCTTAGAAATGGAGTTAACAGTTGTGGTGGGAAAAAGGGAAGTGTGTCTGTCATATGCATATGCAATTGCGGCGGAGACCATGGAAGGAAGGCAGCAAACAGAGATGACGACACGGAGGAGGATCTAGAACTCTACGAGAGCTCTCAGACCAACACGTGGTCCAATGTTTCTTTTTTTATTATTTTTTTGGTCCAATATTAGTTGCTCTTGATTTTATTTTTTCTTATGTCTCGCCTATCATATTATGACACGTCATCGTTTTTGCATGTACTATGTTTCAGGGACAGTATAGTGATTGCTTCAAAGATAAATTATAATTGATGGAGTATTGTTTTGTTTAAGATGAAATGGAAAAAAAAAAACCTATATTATTATAAGTGAGTTAACTGAGAAAATAAATTACAAATACTTTTAAATATGCGCCGAGCCGAGGGTCTCCCGAAAATAGTCTCTCTATCTTTTTAATAGGAGAGGGAAGGTTAAATGCATTTCTTTTCTGATAAAAAAGAAATTACACAATTAAAAGTGATTTCTATATATTATTTTTTTATGTTGGTTTCCTTTTTATTGTTTTGGTTTATCTTTCTTACCTCTCGCGCTACCAACTTTAATATGGTACTCTTGGATACCATTTCAAGTTCGGTTTGAGAAATTTGTCATGTCTATTTTTTTTTTTTAATAATACCGATCACATACCTAATGATTTTGACCCTAAAACAGAATCAGTCATGTTAAATTATTGATATAGGAGATATGACCAAACCGTTCTAACTAAAAAGTTAGAAAATTTTACTTCCCAGATAGTGGGGGTACTTGTTTATTTTTCTTTTTATAATCTCTTGAATTCTTACTGTGACGCCGATATCAAAAGCTTAGCCTGAAACTTGAACGAAATTTATCCTTTTTTTAGGACTCAAATCTTAAGTAACCGAGATTACACAAAATCATAACCTCGTGCAATAAATTCTAGTAAGATGGAAGTTGAGGATCCAACCAAAGTTCTTGCCACGTATTCGTGACCCTAAACGCTTAAAGAAGCATTCACAGGCTTCGGACTGTAACTTTCTGGACATGGGCAGATTGGATTTTGACCCGAAGTTCAATGGAATTAGAACCCGAGATCTCATGATCCGGTCTTAGTACCTTACTAGACTCACATTACTAAGCCACTTTCACCTATGACAGAACCATCAATGCCAGAAACATCTGCTGCAGTCCGATTATGCAGGAGTGAATAGTCGGGGACAGCGTGAACAAAGAGAACTTGTGGCAGAATTAAACAACTATATTCAGTTCTATTAACAATTAATTGAACTTGGGCATTAATTGAGAACAGTTTGTAAAGCTTAAGCCAATACGCCACTTTTACAAAATTATGCTATACAACAATTCACTAAAGTTACAATAGCAAACCTGTATAAGGTAGTTTCTCTATAGATTTATAATAAACCGGCGACAACAATTATCGTGTCCAAAATCAATGTGCTATACCACATATACTGCAGCACCCTCCAGGATGCAACAGACGAGAACAAGCCACACATCAAAAGATCAGTTTTCTCAGGCAGCACCCAGTGATGAGCTAAGCACCTGAATCTGCAAGAATATATCAATGAAAACGTGGATTTAAAGTACCAGCGAAGGAAAGGATTGAACTAAATAATTGTGCAGCGCTATACCTTATTCACAAGCATATTTACTTGCTCTCTGTACATCTCCTTCATGTCAATAATATCAGCACGGAGTTCTTCCAACTATCACAAACAAGTACACGTCCCGTGAATAGAAATCCAAAGAGCACTATGAAAAAAGATCAATACTTCACTGTGGACATAGATTATAGAATGAAGCGGTGCGGGGCCTAAAAGATTATGAATAAGCTATTTATTCTCCGTGAGCATCTTATGGGGGGCCGTCAAGCACATACGGATTTCAAATGGACAATTGGTCTATGAATAACAAAACAAGGGTACTTGACAAGTTGCATCCACGCGCAACCAATCTACCTTGGACAACTGCACGTGTCAGTAAAGCTAAACACTATTGCATAGTCTTGTCAAATTCAAGTACTAAGGAATAACATATAACAGCAAGAAAATAGGATCCGATAAACCTAACTGAAGTCAAGCCCATAATCTTTATCATACTTCCATTGTTTAAAGAATTTTCATCTAGTGTCAATGAAAAGATAATGAAATGTTGGTTTGTACATGGAGGGGCTCAAGTGAGTCAAAGGAGGATGACAATGCATCAACGATTGGAGAACGAGAGAAAAAGCATAGATGCAAATGTATCTACTTAGGTGAGCAGAGAAAAGGAAATCAGAGAGTATCTAGCACCTGGAGAGCGTATGCTGTATATTTTCCAGGATAATAGAGTAAAAATGTAATATATGGCAACAGAGACGAAAATAAAAATGTATTCTAAGTAATGTGGTTTAACAGATACAAAATTTTCACAAAGATTGATGAAACTGAAAAGGGAGGCTGACATCTAACTAGACCTTTTTTTGGGTAGGTAGGTTGACATCAACTAGAATGAAGATACTCTAAAGGAAAGAAGTAATCCCAACGTGGCGAAACTTCCCCTAACAACAAGTAAATAAACTCATGCTTACAATGCCAAATAAAGGAAATCAGGTAATGCTTGAATAGGGATCCAAAGCCGGACCATATACGATGACACCTGAGTGCTTGCACACTAATATGCTTGAACAAACATGAACGACTTGTACAAAGTGATATTTTTTTCAATATAAATCCAAAAGATGTCTTACAAAGGAGAATACTCATGCATGCAGAGAATAGAACAGAGCAAAGATACAGAAAAAGAGGAAAAATCCTACATCCACTAGGTCCGAATCTACTCAATAAGCCTCGAATGAGACCCAGAATGGAACCTCTAGTAGTACAGTTTTAAAGGCAACAGTAGGGGAATTATAATTTTGTTTCTTTGACCAGAAGTCACATTTTTAGGTGGCATTTGCACAGACGCTCCAAAAATAAAAGGAAAAGTAACTAAAATTTGACCCAGAACTTTCAAAAAGAGAAAAAGGGAAATGATTCTTTCAAAAATGTTGAGAGGTGAATGTGTACAAATTTCTCATCCAAAATGTATCACTATGTTGAGGTGATTCATACAGTTTGTACAAGTGTGCATCACATTACACTTTGCAGGATTTCAACAAATATCTGTTTTAGAGTTTCCAGTTCCAGATAGAATGATTTCCCAAATAGAGATGTTGAATAGAAAAAAGAATGTTCCCTTTATAAAGCCTAATTTGGGATCAGCAAGAAATATGCTTGCGGCAAGAAAAAAAATCATGAACCGCAGAGAAGAAACTAGTTTACCTCCTCATCACGTTCACCCATCAATTCAAGAGCTGCCGAGTGTCTCCTTCTAAGTGCATCTAGCTCTGCCCGAATGCCAGGCAGCACGGAAGCTTCTGAACGAAGCTTTTCACACTAAACAAATACAACAAATTTCAAACAAAGAACATCACAAAGGGAAATCTCTTAGAAGAAAAGAGAAGTTATATGTCCGGAGAAAAGAGTTGACCTCTGCAGTCATTTTAACCAACTCCTCAGCCAGGGAGTCGCGGATGGACTCCATAGATGCCTGGAAGAATCAATCAGTTAGTACCAGAAGGAGGTCAAATGAAAACAAACTGGTTGCAAGGAAAAATAACCTTGCATGAAAGTAAACCAAGATAGTTTCAGCTCCTATGGTTTGTTGTTTTAAATAAACGCTACCACTAAATAAGCTTAATAACACAGTGCAAAAAGGCCAACAAAAACATCAAAATAATAATATATGTGCACATGATATGCAATTAAAAGGATCAGTAAGAGAGTCCAAAGCTCATACAAGTCGAGACATATACGATGCAAGTTCCCCTTCCTTCTGACGAAGTGCAGCTTCGAAAGCACTTGATGTCATGCTCTTCATAAAGTATGGACTCACATTACCCTCCAATGCATTTCTACGCTCAGATAAATTGTCAGACGAGTCCAAAGATGCTTGTAGAAAATAGCTTTCCTCCATGCTACTCAAGCTGCTAGCACTTGAAAGTCTCCGCGTCAGACTTCCTGCAGCTAGGTGATTGTTAGACATCGGAAAACACAAACCTGTAAAGCTCCATATTGAAAAGTAAACTTGGTATCAATACCATTTTCAATCCCAGATTTCTGCTTCATTATTGGGCTTTGATCAGGTACAAAACTAGATGGAGTACGAGCTGCCCTTTCTTGATCCAAACGAGCAGCTTTCTCCCGCTCTAGCTCCTGTAAAACATTTGGGGACAATTGACTCAAACATATTTCTCATTAATAAAATAAACAACAAGAATAACTAGCATGAAATACCAGGTTGTTTCCAGGTATTAATCCAGTCTAAATAAATTCCACCAATAAATATGTGATAACGGTTTAGCGATCACAGATTTCAGAATAGGAGATGCATAGTGTTAAATCATATAAAAAGTTATCACAACGTGAATTGCTTCACCTGTAGCTTCCAGTGTAGATTACTCTAAGTGATACCATTACAAAACTTGCGTCCTGTGCTTATATATTAAGAATCTTTGTTCTCTCGTTATTTTGATGCTTTTGAAGACAATAGAACGGCGAACAATTGTCATTACGCAAGTGGCAAAGCTCAGGTGATAGAGAATTTACAGCCACAGATTAGATAAATGCTAAATGCCATCAACCATTTAAGTAGGTCTCAGAACTTAAAAGAGAATAAACTTATCAAATGTCTAGCAGGTCAACCCATAGATGGTACAAAAAAGAACAAGTAAACATATTCTTCGGTTGAAGCATCTTGATCATATTTATATTATGCAGCATGTAAAACCACAAGCATCATCGGTGCAAAAAGGCATTGACACAGCTAATTAATTGGAAAGTGAAAAATAATGTGGTTACCTGCCGCAGGAGTTCCTGGTGAGTTAATGCTTCTTGTAGTTCCTGCTTGTGCTTCCTTCTGACTTCTTTAATTTCTTCTTCAAGCTGATTCACACGACCTTCGTTAGTCTCAGCTTCCTCCTTTAGAGCAAGATATTCTTGCCTATTCTCCCCGGCCCTCTGTCTCTCTTTGTCAAGGGACTTTGTTAGCTGTGTCTGTTCAGCTCTTAGACAAGATATCTGCAATACTAAATTTGTAAGCAAATTCCTGGGAAGAAGCTCTATGGAAGCAGCATCATAGCAATAGGTAAAAGAACCTGAGCCTCAAGCACATTGATTCGAGACAGGGTTTGAGAAAGGCGTTCACTAATAGATCGCTCCTTCTCCTCTGCAGTTGCAGCTTTTGCCTCAGCTTCCTGCAGAATAAAATTAAGAATCCCTTCGAGTTTCAACTATAAATAACGGTTGTACATGTTTCTCTTAAAACCTGAAGACGTGAATTCAAGGTTCTCTCGACAGCAGCCCAAGCTTCAGTCTTTCTGGCGTTTGTTTCCTGTAATCAAAGAAGATGCATAGAAACATAGACATTAGAAAAGCGGTTCCATAAACCATGAGGTCCATGACCAACAACAACAACAACTACCCAGTAAAATTCCACAAAGTGGGGTCTGGGGAGGGTAATGTGTACGCAGACATTACCCCTACCCCGATAGGGCAGAGAGGCTGTTTCCAATAGACCCTTGGCTCAGAAAGACAAAAAAAAAAAAAAAAAAAAAAAAAAAAA